GCATACGACAACTTTTGTGAGGAGAACGAAAATAAGTTCAGCAACTATTCCTCTCTGAAAGTGTAATAAATTGGGATGTTTTTAAAGTGGAACTCGCCCGCTAAAACGCGCAGAGCTAGTTTCATGCAGTTTTCATTTTCATCGAGCTAGAAGTTGCGTGAAATTGGGACAATTAAAAGTTTCAATGACTGCTACTTCCGCTGTATGATTGATGCTAGACTATTCGTTGAGTTTTCGGTTTTACTAAACGTGATATTGTACTAACTATTACTCGAGCATGAGTACAGATTAACATCCTGAGCATAATTTGAATTGATTGAGGTCAGGTTAGTGTTAGCCATCTGACTAATAGTTACAGATAGCTCTGAGCTAGTCATAGTTAAGTCCGAAATCCTGTTTATCAATTGGATACTACGCTCTTAGTTTGGAACTGTGGTTTGGAAGCTCGTATGTGATTTGTCGACATCCTGATGACATTCGTAGGGCTACAAATCTTGTCCATGAAGTGAGAAACGCACTGCACGAACTCCGCAACGAGCAATGGAGCGACTTTCTGGCGGGAATGCTTGATTCAAGTATTCCTCTCTGGAGGGTCGCAAAGTCACTCAGCAACGGAAAGCGATAACAACTCCACACATCCACGGTCCTGAAGGCATAGTCTTCAGAACGGAGGATAAGGTCGAGGTTTTCGCTGATGCCATGGAAAAACAGTTCTCTCCCAACTATGATCTCGATAATGACCTCGACGAGGAACAGCACATCGTACGATCCGTCAGGAGATATTTTAGAGCCAACGGCGTTAGCGGAGGCACTGAATCCTCTTCAGATGACTCTTCTTCAGAAGATTCGTCTGAGGCTCCACATAGCACATTAGCGGAACCCTCCGAGTTTCCACATTGCACACCAGCGGAGCTCCTAAGTCATATTAAAGACCTCAAGGTGCGTAAAGCACCTGGGGAGGATCAAATCACCAACAAGGCGTTGAAGCTGCTCTTGCCGAAAGCCCTGACATACTTGCTGACAATAATCAATGCGACGCTCAAAATACTACTTCCCTGCTGGGTGGAAGACTGCTGAGGTCATCATGATTCCAAAGAAGGTGGGTTCGATATTTCCTCAGGATTACCGTCCCATAAGTCTGCTGTCAGCTCCTTCTAAGCTCGCCGAAAAGGTGATTTATCGTCACCTTGAGAATTTTTCGTCAAATCACCATGTGCTACAGGCAGTCAGGCTGGTGGAGCATGTAACCAGAGGGTTCACCCTCAGCATGGTACTGGCATCTTGCTTTTGGATGTCTCAAAAGCCTTTGACAAGGTGTGGCACGCGGGCCTCCTCTATAAACTAATCCAAAAGGGTTTTCCTTTTTGCCTTCTAAAATTACTGAAATCCTTTCTTGAAGGAAGGAAGTTTCGGATCAAAATTAACAATGTTTTGTCAACATCACGGCCAGTATGGGCCGGAGTTCTTCAGGGTTCGGTCCTAGGACCAATTCTTTATTCGCTTTTCATCCATGATGTCCCTTCCCCCAGCAACTGTGAAGTCTACCTCTATGCTGACGACACTGCACGTGTCGCCCAGTCGTGTACTGGTGATCTGGTTCACGATGGGTTGCAGAATGCAGTGGACGAAGTTCTAGAGTGGGCGGAACGGTGGCTGATAAAAATTAATCATTCGAAAACGCAGGCTATTTATTGTACCAAAAAACGTCGCGGCCCCCCAGCAGAGGTTTCTGTAGACGGAAATCGTGTACCATGGACAAATTCTGCCAAGTATCTCGGTGTCACCCTTGATAAAGGCATGACCTGGCAGAAACATACAGCATCCATAAAAACAAAATTCCAAATTGCGTTTCGGCAACTATATCCTTTGTTATGTAGATCCTCCAAATTGAGTTTGATAAACAAAGTTCGACTATATAAAATGATTATTAGACCAGCCATTACTTATGCATGTGCGGCTTGGTGTTTTCTTGCCAAGTCACACATGCAAAGTCTTCAAGTACTGCAAACAAGAACTTTGCGGACAATTTGCAACGCTCCATGGCATGTCTCAAATGAGACACTACACAGAGACCTTGACATTCCTTACTTGAGGGATTATGTCAAGCTTCAGGCGCAGCGACGTTATAGTCAAGCGTAATCGCACAGCAACCCTCTGTTGCGTGACTCAGTGGACTACACAGTGGAGCAAGTTCGTAAACATTCAAGGCCACGGCTCGCACTGTAATCAAAAGTTAGCGTGAATCTTTAGTAAACTCAAAATTACACTCACAATTACACAAAACTGAATCAAAAATTTGTTTAGTTCACCTCAAAATGAATCCGTGTACCAAGTCAAAAAGCCTAGGTGTTTCCTCTTAAACTAAGCATATCTGTTTTTCTTTGTTCTTCTCCTTTTTTCTTCTCTTTCCCTTTCTCTTTTTCCCTGACTTTGTCTGGTTTCTGGGCAACCAGGACTGACAGATTCGACTAACGTACATCAGACAGTGACTAATGGGCAAAGGTCCTACGGACCGCCCAGACAAATAAATGACGAATAGTGTGATTTGTCGAAAAAATTAAAGTTTTGGATTTCCGTCACTCTCGCTGTCACACATTCAAGCACAATGAACAAAGAGGGCAGACCAAGCAATCAAAAGCATGTTCCGCGTAACTTTCTAGAATGGTTTCATCGAGAAATTATTAAGAAGAAGTTAGTATTTAATGTGCCAATTAAAGTAACATATTAGAAAGTACCTTCTATATTGTGATATAACTTGAAGCGTTTCAACTTTGGAAATCTTATACGAATTGCATATAATTACAGATATTACTGGTTAACTGATTATATGTATTTCCAAAAGATTGCACAGAACCAATTTATTTCCCAGTCAAGCTATTTTGTTGAATGCTGTTGTCCTATATTCCGTATGTTTTTGTCTAAATGATCAGGATCTCTAATCTTTGACCGACCCTGGAAAAGTTTGCCTCGCCTCGCTCTTGAAAGGGCTTTAGGTCCTCATGTATGATAAGCAGGGTGTTTCGTCCGTAAATAAACATGGTGAAATGGTAGATAGTATCGATCGAGATATTTTTATTTCCGAAAACAAAGTTCTGATATCACATATCTCAGGCACTTCTGAACCGATTTTGTAATGTACAGCTAGACCGACAAAAGATAAATCCGGGGTTTTACTAAATTTTTTCACTTTTTTGTTTTTTATCAAAGTCAACAACTTTTCAGTTGAATGTTGAAATGTTTGATCATATACAAAAAAAACAAGGAAGATATTCAGCTTCAAAGGTGTTGATTTTAAACAAGAAAGGTGAATAAAACCGGGTCCGGCACTGGATTTTTCAATAGTGTGATACTGAAGATAAGGTCTGTTCAGATATATCAATGAAAACTAATTTTCAAATACGAAAAGGTCTTCTTGTTTACTTCACTACGCCCGTTTAAGTACGGAAGTCCCTGCATTTAAATATGTTGTAGTTATTATTAAACACATACTTTGACTAAAATACAAACTGTTGATCATTCAGCAAGTCAAAATGATTTTTGTGCTAATATTTTGCATCATTTTCAAGAAACTCTATCATCATCGCTGGAATGTTCGAAAATCACCAGTATCCACAGCGAAATACACACCAAATGGAATACCTGTTTCTTGGTTTTCAAATACGACCGAAAGGTAAAACTTTTAGCTGCTGTAGTAAAGCTACAAGCTTAAGGTACACAATTTAGCTCTTAGTTATTGGATAACACATAGCTAACATGACGGGATCTGAAGCTCTAGTTGACGAGTTGCACTCTTCAACTGCTTCCAAAGTGCAGATGATTAATATATAGTGATACCGATTCAGTAATTCATAGCACAGCTTTGGAGAGCCTCAGTGATCAGTGACCGAGTAGCGAGACTAATTGTATAGCAGCGCATAGATATAGAAAATCTGTCATTGTCACTATGACATAGTCAAAAGTGAATATAATTGTGTCAAAAATCGGTAAAGGGCACGACGCATATGCCCTTTATTGCACAACATATTTTTTAAACATGAACTTCAATACTTAATTGTGGAAATGTATCGACGGATCTTCTGCGTAATTAATATGCCGCTTGTGTCGTGTTTCGTCCTCAAGCTTAAATCACTTTAAGAATGTTTATTGCTTATTATAATATGTATACTTATAGTGATTCTGATCGGCTCACTGATCGATTTTTTATTAAAAACACTACCGTGCCTTCGTACTTGCCGATACAGAAAAAGTTTATCAGCACTCTCTTGAGTGCTAAAGGTAACTACAAACGTCAATTGTTTCCAATCTTCTTCAAACAAAAAAGCTGCTTCTTAATGTTCTTCCTTATTTGAGTGTACACTCAGGATCCTACATATTCGTCTAGCAAGTAATATTCACTATATTTTCCTCAACTCAATCAAGCCGAGCTTTTTTAATAAGTTGCAGAACTTTCAACTCCTCGAGCAGCTCACTGCAGGTAGTCCACGTTTTATAGAAACTCTTAATATACCTTTTTCAGGCGTAGTTTATTAATGAATACAAAATAAAATAGGAAAAAACAGGTTGGGGGCTGAGTTTTCATATAAGCAATTATCTTCCGAGGCTGTATTTTTCCTCAAGTATAATAAAGCAGAGGCAAAACAAGAAAACCAGCTTATATTTACATACGTCAAACGTGACCTGTCGTTTCGCTTCGCATCGCTGCAGTTTACGGCTCCTAATTAAATTATGTGTAACGGGGCATAGTGGATTGGTTTACTCAAAAAATTACCAAGTATCACAAGGTGAAAACATGCACTGGATAACAAATCGCTTCACAGACATCACAAGATATGGAGTTAGTAGTCTCTACCTATAACATCGAAAAGTCCATAGTCTCAAAATGATTTCATTTCATCATTGGTACTACATAAACCTAGCTAGACTAAGTTCATCTCCCTTGTTAGGGTTAGTTAACGAGTTGTACCTCAGCGAGAAGGGACGCAAAAATGTTATTCGGATCATCAAATAGCTTCTCTAACTATTTTTTTCCTGATATAAGTTTCTGGTAGGTGGTTGTTTTCTGTCCACCAAGGAATCTGCCTCATCCTTGATTCGGTCTTTTGATATTTCAGACATTCTTTAGAGGTCAACTCATCTACAACCTATATTAAGTGATACAACTGGATTCTGTACCTATAAGAACTACAAATGCACACTTACAAGCGAGTTCTACCACCAGCTTGAAAGTTCACAAAGATGCGACAACACTGACAATGAAGCTACAAATACTCTGAAAATACATAAGGCCCAAATACCTCTGGTTTATACTGAATGACAGTTAACGATCTATGAACGGATAGATGTCGTCCACTGTCACTGAAAGGACAACCCGTCAATAAGCCGGTCTACGAGGTATTATCAAGGCTACCTGCAATCTCACATGCACATGCTACGCTGAATTTATTTGCTTTTCGTCTCTGTAAGCATAATCAACCGCATACAACATTGTTTCAAACTTTTTTGCAATCATCATCATCATCATTTATTGAAAAACACAGTATATACATTTTATCTAGTTTTTGATATCTACTTGTAAATGGCAGTTGTCAGTGTAGCCACCTCTTTGCACACAACATACCGAGTTTTCCAGTACCCTCTTGTCTCCACACGACGAGAACTATACCGTAACCTTATATACAGGTTCCTTAATGATATTCTTAAAAAATATCGAAGTCAATACCCGTACATACGCCACTGTTAATGCTAAAAATTATTTTTGCACTGAAAAATATGCAACTACTAACTTTCACTACGTACTAAATATCAGTGAAATGTTCATAAATTTCCATTTTTTTCCAAACCAACACCCCGAGTTTTTTTAAGGAAACAGTTTTGGACCATAGTTTGGCAGAACCATATGGAAGCGCTAAAAACTAAATTCCAAATTACGTTTCGGCAGCTTCACCCATTATTATGTAAACGGTCAAAATTAAGTTTGATTAACAAGATTCGACTCTATAAGGTGGTCATAAGACCAGCAATGACTTACGAATGTGCGGCTTGGTGTTTTATTGCTAAAACACACATGCGAAATCTGCAGGTTCTGCAAAGCAGGACGTTGCGCACTATTGCTGATGCGCCATGGTATGTCTCTAACGAAACTCTACATAGAGACCTCGATGTCCCTTACCTAAAGGACTACATTAAGCAACAGGCGCAGTGGCGCTATAGCCTAGCGGAATCGCACAGCAACCCTCTGTTGCGTGAGTCAGTGGACTACACAGTCGAGCAAGTTCGCAAGCACAAAAGGCCGCGGCTTGCACTGTAATCAAAATTACCTCGTGAACTTAGAACAACCAAAATTGGAGCATTTTTACACAATCTTTAGAAAAAATCAAATATTTTCAGACCATATCAAAATCTGTGAAGTGATTTTAACAATGCCTAAACGCTGCCTATCCTAAAAGATTCTCTTCTTCCCCTTTGCTCTCGTTCTTCCTTCTCTCCTTTCCTTCCCCTTTTTTCCTTAAAATTGTCTGGTTTCTGGGTTACCAGACCTGATAGACTTACAAACTGACACTGTGACTCAAGAGCTAAGGTCCCACGGACCGCTCTGACAGCCAACGATGACTTGACTTGAGGAAGCAAACAGTCAGTACAGTAACGTCGTTTCAAATTGACAAAGTATTTAGTGCGAGTATGCTGGAAAACGTTTATTCTCAACGCCTGACAAAGATGTAGTAAGCTATTAAGCCATCTAACAAGATCATACAGTAAATATAATCTTAGTAAGTCATTCAAGTGAAAACAACCTCGTTATCGTTTGCATTCATGGAAAACGGAAACGTGTTCACGAAATGGTAGGACATCCGGTTTGTGGCTTCACGAGTTCACTCTCATATAGACGCTGGGGAGGATTTGTAGTTAGAATTAGTGCTCACTCAAGTATGCTTTGTTACGAGCACTCATTTGAATGGTCGTGCAAACCTTGGGGTAGCAGGTTTTGTATACTCTATAATATTTAAATCAAACAAGTCAGGTAGTCGCGTTAGTATTATTATTGAATTGTAGAAGAACGGGTACACTTACAAGGTTGTCACAATTTGCACAAGAATCTATTCATACTGACGTTTAATACAGGTAGAGGAACATCCTTCTGACAGTGTTGCTCTTGGTATCTTAGGAACAAAGGAGTATTCATATAGCTAGTTTTCAGTGAGCTGAATATAAAATACCAATAAAAATATGCCATTTAGTATCATCGTATCCTCAATTCGTTCAGCATTCAAAACATGATTTGCCTTCCCTCTTGGGACGTATATGGTAGACCAACCCGGATCCACGTCTAGATGGAAAACCTTCTGAAACTGCTCTGCTAGTCGTAAGAAGGCATTCGAGGGCAACCGCAAGACCGTTTGGGTTTTTCTGAAAATTAATAAAAGCGACGCTATTACCTCAGCAGCTCTTTCATTGAAGCTCTTACTGGCAGTTTCGCTAAATTAAATTTGAAATTTTAACAAATTGCTGGCTGTTCTCGTAATGCGTCAGTGGGGTAGTGGCAACTTGTTAAAACTTGCTTGAGAACATCCAGTCGCTCATTAACATATAGAGAACGACTACGTTAGAAAAAAGATAAGTCCTAGTGAAGTGAATTTATCGGGGAAACTCGGAAACGTTGGCGAGGAACATCAAAGCACCTTAGTATTTACTGATAGTGCTATTATTTTTTTATTTTCAGTACATTCACATTAAAATTACAAAGTGGTACGGATGTGTACATAAATATCCACAATGATACTCTCGCTCACACATTTGTATTGTTCAAATTGCAAATACTGTGTTGCATCCATGGAACGTAAACCTATACCACTATACTAAGTGACATATAACACACCCAGTTTAAATGGTTTTATTTTAATAAAAGTTGGTGAATGTATTTATCTTACTGTAAATAACAAGTGAAAAAATTTTCAGCCTTATCAGTTGGACATTCCGGTTTTTATACTGCTTATTTTTAATTCACTAACGCTCTAAAATGAATATTTCAGCCGCAGTAAAGAATCAACGTTGGCGGATTTTGGTTCTTGACATCCTTTACGATCGGTTACGATGCTTAGAGTACGGAGACCTGTACGATTTCGTCAACTTAGTGAGTTTGATAGGGGCCGTATAGTGGGACTTCGGGAAGCTGGACTTTCTTTTCGGGCAATTGCAGTTAGAGTGCAAAGAAGTGTAGACACTGTGGTTAGGTGTTGTCAGGCATGGCTTCGAGAAGGTCGTACGCAAAGAGCAAGGGGCACTGGACGCCGCCGTAGAACAACAGACCGTGAATATCGCCGCATAAGATTATTGGCCTTAAGGGACCGTTTCTCCACTACCAGGTCCATTGCAAATGAATGGTTTGCAGAACACGGAAGACCTATTGGCAAGCGAAGTGTTTACCGACGAATGAGAAGTTTTGGCTTGTTTTCATACCGGCCACACTGGGTCCTCCCTTTAACTCGAGAACACCCACGTAATCGCCTTGAGTGGTGCAGACAACGGTCACTCTGGGATCAGGAATGGAACAGTATTGTCTTTAGTGACGAGTCTCGATTTTGTTTAGGCATGCACGATGGTCGTGCCAGGGTTAGAAGGCGACGTGGTGAAAGGAGGAATCCACAGTTTTTTGTTGAAGGACATGTTCATCACACTGTTGGAGTTATGGTTTGGGGTGCTATAGCTTATGGTTCCAGGTCACCTTTAATCTTCATCAGAGGTAACATAAACGCGCAGCGTTATATCCACGAAGTTCTAGAACCCCATCTTTTACCCTATCTTGACACCCCGGCAGATCCAACTTTCCAACAAGATAATGCCCGACCACATGTTGCAAGAGTCACAATAGACTTCTTTCAACATAATGATGTCACATTGTCACCATGGCCACCAAGATCTCCCGACTTATCCCCAATTGAGCACGTGTGGGATACGATGGGTAGGAGATTGCTCAATTTGCAACGTCCTCCTCAGACTCTAGAAGCACTTCGAGAGGAGTTGGTGGTTGCCTGGAATGAGATACCACAGGAGGACATTGACCACCTGATCAGAAGCATGCCTAGGCGCGTTGGAGAATGCGTAGCACATCAGGGTGCATCCACACATTATTAAAGGTCAAAGGTCTTTAAAGCAGTGCAATCATTTTGAATTTTTTATCATTTACTTATTATGCTTCATTAGGTACTTATACAAAATTTTATTAAAATAAAACCATTTAAACTGGGTGTTCGGATTTATATGTCACTTAGTATATGTGGCTAGCTTACTATAATTTTGAAGAACTGCTTCAATTATGAGAAACATTACGAACTAAATGTGTTCATGTAGACTAATTCTTGCCAAGTTGCCCTATGAATCACTGAATCAGTGTCATTGTATATTAATCATACGCTTTGGTTATTGAAATTTTCATCACAATACTAATTGCACTGTTAATCCGAATTCGTTAGGACCCAAACAATGTAGTATACTCACTTAGCTCTTATCTCGCATTCATTAAACGTTATCTCTTATCTCTCGCTAACAGTTAATGGTGGATCTTGGCAGTTGTTGAGTGATGTCGTTAACCGTCAGTCGAAGGAACGACTCATTAATGCAACTACGGTCTCGTGTAAAAAGCAGATAGCTAGTCGTGACATTGTCAAGCGTATTAAAGCAAGAAATTGCTCGAACGTAATGAGAAAACCTCCTACGGCGATGAGCATGCACCAACTTTTCTCCAGTTGTTGTGAATAGTTTTCATACATGCAGCAGCGGCACAGAAAATCGTTTGCCGGGAGTAGGTATATTTTTCTGAAACGTGGGGCTTTAATTAAATCAGATAACGAGACAGGAAACAGACTATAACATAACATTTTGTTACTTGTTCAGCTTTTATAGTCTTCCTCCTACTTTAGTTTATCCAACGTTATATCCGTTCTGGACGTCACAGAGGGACTACAGAGCGACAAGACCGACGGTTAAGACTTCTGGTTCTGAGAGATAGATTCAGTAGTACTCGAGCCATCGCTAATCAGTGGTTTGAAGAGCCACCACGATCGCTTGACCTATCTCCAATTGAACGTGTGTCAGACATCATAGGTCGCAGGCTCTTAAATTTGCAATATCCTCCACAGACTTTAGCAGCTCTTACTCACGACGTTGCAGTAGCCTGTGATGAGATACCACAACAGGGTATCGACCACCTTATCAGCACGATGCGTGTATAAAAAATCGTGGATCCTCAACACATTATTGAACCAGCTTCTGCAGTCAGTTGACAAATCAAGCTGAAAATTCAATCATTTTACTAGTAAGGGACACTGAACATACAGGGTGACTTTGAAGTTGAGTCATTAATTTTCAGATAATGATTATAGAAGGAAGATAAACCAAAATATGTGTGTAAAAATAAAATAAAAATTAAAAAAAATGTTTACCTTGTTTTATAAAGTATCCTCCCGACAAGTATTTCAGTGCGGACCTGTATTTGATCGTGAGGTCCCCTGTGAGGTCTTAAGTCACCTGATTCACGAGCCCGTTGTACTACATTAACAAAGGCACGAGGGGTTGGTTGCACTCGATTGGGAAACCGATCCGCATAAACATGTGCCATTTTTTATTTCATTTGAGCCACGCAACAGACACTATTCACACGCTTTACCGACTGACACTGACTGTATGTATAACTGAACTGAATAAAATAATTGTAAAAACATCGTTCCAAATTCTTTCGCTTTTTTGTTTCCGATGCGATGAACCGATAAGGCGGATTATATTCGTTGTTGCCAAACACGAGCACATGATATTATTATTGAGACAGGGCGGTACTCAAACTTCCAAAGGGCTATAACTTTGTTACTTTAATTTTACCAGAAAAATGGTAAAGGAAAAAAACATTTCTTTTGATCAGATCTACTCACTGTTAAAATAAATGACTCAACTTCGAAGTATATGCCAAAAAATTATTAAAATCGGATAAGCATACGTAGGTGTTTACGTTTTTCTGTCACTCACTATATATGTAAAGCTCCGATAACAGAGTAAATTGATAAGAAATACACAAACGTACATTGGGTTTTGATGGATAGTCAAACTTCGAGTGGGGCTGTCAGAATTCAGATCATAGATCACATGATTTGGTGAGGATACAACTCATCATCTCACCTGACGGGAAGATTTTGGGTTACCAGTTTAGAGCTATAAAGTACTCTTTTCTATGTAATATTATCATTTTATTTTTAGAACTAATCTCAAACATTTGACTTAGTGATACATTTTAAGCTCAAAGCTCACTAATAGTTTCAATAGTAATGCGGACATTAATTTTTTGTGAATTTTTAGGTTTGTTTCTTGATGTGCTAAGAGCAGTTGAAAGAGCGACGGTGCAAGGAATAGAAATGCAGCTTGTCGCTCAGCGGATGCAAGGATAAGTACGCCTCTGCATTGGTATTCTATATGCGCGACTTGAGAATTGTACGCTGAAAACGGAGCTAACTAACATCTGTTGTATTTTAATTAATTAGCGACAAGTTAAAAGCAACTTGGTCTTCCTACGTTTGAGAAAATTACGAATTCCTAGACAAGAATCAAATAACTGGCTGGAAATGACAGAACTTTCGAGTGTAAAAGGGAATGCAAAAGTACGTTGGATATCAAACAAGCTCATTTAATTTAGGTACGAGTTCCCATTTAGTTCACTTAAAACTAAACTTTAAAAGAGATTTTTCCTCAAAACAGAAAGCAGTCCATTCAGCAATTCATGTTGGCATCGAGACTGCGATTTTGAGCGTTGAGATTAATTTCGATACCATTTTACCTTCGTATTATATATGATCCAATATGATAATTTCAACATCGTGATGATAGTTTATATAAATACAGGGTGTTCCATAATTATTGCGACAAAATGATAGGGGTTGTAGAGGGCATCAAAATGAACAATTTTGCCTTATAAACCTCTGTTCGGAAATATGCCGTTTGGGCTGCAGCAAAAAAAAAGATCAGTTTCTTGAAACAGCTTACCTACAGTAATTGCTCAAAGTGTCCTCCACCTTGCTCAATACACAGCTGTGCACGATTGTTCAATGATCGGCGAACTCTGTGGCATACCCCCGGTATGTCCTGAACATGTGCGGACGCGACCATCACTCTTCCCAGTAGGTCTTGGGAACAGGAGTTTCGTACGCTAAAGCTTTCAGATGGCCCCAGAGAAAATAATCCAGTGGGGTCAGGTCGGGTGACCGCGCAGGCCAAGGCACAGGGCCACCTCGGCCTATCCACCTATTTGTCGTCCAAATACTGCCGCACTTGTAAAGAAAAGTGGGCCATCGTGTTGAAACCACGTGTTGGCTCTTATGTTCAGTGGCACATTTTCTAATAGTTCCGGTAGCACATGCTGTAAGGAT